TTTAAATGGGAAAGAAAACTCGCAAATCCAGGTTCCTTATGTCAGATTCTAGGGCTCTCTTGGGTCTATCAGGGCAGCACAAGTTTGAGGTGGGGACAACTTCGGTCTGGGGTCCATCCTTCGATGTATGGATTTTTCGTACTGAGGTCCCTGCCCGGGACCTGGGGCCACTGGGCACATACTCTGGACCTTTACCCTGGGACAGAAAACTCACCAGTCCACGTTCCTGATGTAAGTTTATAGGGCCCCCTTGGGTCTATAAGAGCAGAAAAAGTTTGAGGTGGGGACAGTATTGGTCTGGAGGACATCCTTTGATATATGGACTTTTTGCAGTCAGGTCCCAGCTCATTGTCAGGGGCCCCTGGGCACACACTTTGGCCATTTTCCCTGGGAAAGAAAACTCACCAGTCCAGGTTGCTGATGTCAGTTTGTAGGGCTCCCTTGGGTCTATTAGGGCAGCACAAGTTTCAGGTGGGGACAACTTTGGTCTGGAGGACATCCTTTGATAAAAGGAATTTTGGCAGTCAGGTCCCAGCTCATTGTCAGGGGCCCCTGGGCACATACTTTGGCCATTTTCCCTGGGAAAGAAAACTCACCAGTCCAGGTTCCTGATGTCAGTTTGTAGAGCTCCCTTGGGTCTATCAGGGCAACACAAGTTTGAGGTGGGGACAACGTTGGTCTTCGGTCCATCCTTCGATAAAAGGAATATTTGCAGTCAGGTTGCAGCCCAGGGCCAGGGGTCCCTCTGCAAATACTTAGGCCATTTACCCTGGTAAAGAAAACTCACCAGTCCAGGTTCCTGATGTAAATTTGTAGGGCTCCCTTGGGTCTATCAGGGCAGCACAAGTTTGATGTGGGGAATTCTTCGGTATGGGCTCCATCCTTCGATGTATGGACATTTTGCAGTCAGGTCCCAGCCCAGCGCCAGGGGCCCCTGGGCATAACCTTTGGCCATTTTCCCTGGGAAAGAAAACTCACCAGTCCAGGTTGCTGATGTCAGTTTGTAGGGCTCCCTTGGGTCTATCAGGAAAGCACAAGATTGAGGTGGGGACAATTTTGGTCTGGGGTACATCCTTTGACAAAAGGAATTTTTGATGTCACGTTGCAGCCCAGGGCCAGGGGTCCCTCTGCACATCTTTGGCCATTTTCCCTGGGAAAGAAAACTCACCAGTCCAGGTTCCTGATGTCAATTTGCAGGGCTCCCTTGGGTCTATCAGGGCAGAACAAGTTTAAGGTGGGGGCAACTTCGGTCTCGGGTACATCCTTCGATGTATTGACGTCTTCCCGTCAGGTCCCTACCCAGGGACCGAGGGCAAATGGGCACATCCTTTGGCCATTTTCCCTGGGAAAGAAAACTCACCAGACCAGGTTCCTGATGTCAGTTTGTAGGGCTCCCTTGGGTCGATGAGGGCAGCACAAGTTTAACGTGGAGACAATTTTGGTCTGGGGTCCATCTTTCATTGTATGGATTTTTTGCACTCAGGACCCAGCCCAGGACCAGGGGAACCCTATACATCCTTTGGCCATTTTCCCTGGGAAAGAAAACTCACCAGTCCAGGTTCCTGATGTCAGTTTGTAGAGCTCCCTTGGGTCTATCAGGGCAGCACAAGTTTGATGTGGGGACAACTTCGGTCTGGGGTACATCCTTCGTTGTATGGATTTTTTGCAGTCAAGGTCCAGCCCAGGGCCAGGGGCCACTGGGCACGTCCTTTGGCCATTTTCCCTGGGAAAGAAAACTCACCAGTCCAGGTTGCTGATGTCAGTTTGTAGGGCTCCCTTGGGTCTATCAGGAAAGCAAAAGATTGAGGTGGGGACAATTTTGGTCTGGGGTATATCCTTTGATGTCCAGAATTTTTGCAGTAATGTCTAAGCCCAGGGCCAGGGGCCCCTGGGCACATCCTTTGGCCATTTTCCCTGGGAAAGAAAACTCACCAGTCCAGGTTCCTGATGTCAGTTTGTAGGGCTCCCTTGGGTCTCTCAGGGCAGCACAAGTTTGAGGTGGGGACAATATTGGTCTGAGGTCCATGTTTCGATATACGGACTTTTTGCATTCAGGCCCCAGCCCAGGGCCAGGGGCCCCTCTGGAAATACTTTAGCCATTTTCCTGAGAAAGAAAACTCCCCAGTCCAGGTTCCTGATGTCGGTTTGTAGGGCCCCCTTGGATCTATCAGAGCAGAACAAGTTGGAGGTGGGGACATCTTTGGTCTGGGGTACATCCTTCAATGTGTGGACTTTTTGCAGTCAGGTCCCTGCCCAGGGTCGGGGGCCCCTGGACACATCCTTTGGCCATTTTCCCTGGGAAAAAAAACTCACCAGTCCAGGTTCCTGATGTCTGTTTGTAGAGCTCCCTTGGATCTATCAGGGCAGCACAAGTTTAAGGTGGGGATAATTTTTGTCTGGAGTACATCCTTCGATGTATGGACTTTTTTCCGTCAGGTCCCTGCCAAGGGTCGGGGGCCCCTGGGCACATCCTTTGGCCATTTTCCCTGGGAAAGAAAAATCACTAGACAAGGTTCCTGATGTCAGTTTGTAGGGATCCCTTGGGTCGAACAGGGCAGCACAAGTTTAAAGTGGAGAGAACTTCGATCTGGGATCCATCCTTCATTGTATGGATTTTTTCCAGTCAGGTTGCAGCCCAGGGCCTGGGGATCCCCAACATACCCTTTGGCCATTTTCCTGGGAAAGAAAACTCACCAGTCCAGGTTCCTGATGTCAGTTTGTAGGGCTCCCTTGGGTCTCTTAGGGCAGCACAAGTTTTAGGTGGGGATAACTTCGGTCTGGGGCACATACATTGACACATTGATTTTTTAAAGCCACGTCCCTGCCCAGGGCCGGGGCCCCTGGGCACAACATTTGGCCATTTTCCCTGGGAAAGAAAACTCACCAGTCCAGGTT